CATTCTACTTAGATTAAGGCAATTCTTTTAACATTCAGTCCTTGGCAATCAGTCCTATTTTAATCTCGAGGCAAAAAACCAGCAGAGAAATCATGTCCCTCCTTGGTCTGAGAAGAGCTGGGCCTGGAAAGGAGATGGTTGGACAGCCAAATAGGAAAAAGTTTCAGCAGGAAAAGAATCAAAACCAATTAAAGTGAATTATCCTTTTTATAACTGCTCTTGTTTTGCAATTATAAGGATTGCCAGGATACAGGATTGATAGAGCCCCCATTCCCCATAAAACTCACAGAAATGAATAGGACGTAAGTAATGAATATGGAATCTAACCGAAAGGAGTAAATTAATGCCAGTTTGCCTCTGGGACCCTACCATCCCAACTAATTTATGCTACAATGTTTGAAAGCAATCTAATACAGAATAGCATTTGTATTAGTGCTTCCAATTTCAGAGACTATAGTTACATCAGCAGCAGCAAGGAAATAATGATCAGTCCTGCTATAATTTCAACTCATAGCAAATTAAGATTAAGATTGCTTCAACAGGAATGGAATCCAAGGGCACTTCAACACAGCCCTTTTGGGTGCCATGCTACAAAGTATTTTTAAGTTGGTTGCAAAAAGAAGGGGAGGAAAGAGAGAAACTTACAAAAAGTAGATTCACAAATAAGAAAAGGGTCTCCTAGATAAATGCCACAACTAAATGCACAGAAGTATAAACTTGTAGAGCAAGAATATAATACTGTTCTTTGGTCATTGCAATAACCCTAACCCCTAGAGAAGGAACAATTTTAATAATATTAAAAGTATTAAAGACTAGCAAATTCACTTCCACTTGGTTTTACACTTCTGTATACCAGAACATGGTTTTCAAACAGTAGAAATACTGCTTTGTTGAAAAAGATCCTTTGAATTCTGTTTATTTTCATAGGCATAGTTATATATAATTAAATCATAATTCTGAAAAACGTAATCACACAATCATATTCTTTCTCATTCTCTAATCATTTCAAATCTTTGAGGACACTGAAAATGTTATTATCACCGCACATAAAACAACATAATTAAAATGTTCAGTTAATAAGCTGGGGTACAAAGAAAATAACAACGTGTTTCTGAGTAGATAACTTTACAATGTGTACAGTAATCAAAACAGCTGGCTCACAGTACGTGACTAAATAGATTTTATAATGGACCGAAGGCTAGGCCTGGCTATATGTACAGTATATATATCTTTGATAAATTTAAATACTGGAATCCCAGGTGTAGACATTTAAAAGCAATAAAAAATAAAATGAACTCCAGATATAAGAAAAAAAGCCTTCTTTATTGCTAAGCTTTTGTCAACTAGCTGTTGACATCATCAGAACAAGGGCCAAATAATAAGGGAGCCTGTACATACCAGCCAGCGCACGACTGCGCGGGGCGCGATGAGGCTTACGCACTGAACAGCTGATAGGCGCGATGAGGCTTACGCGCTGAACAGCTGATAGGCGCGATGAGGCTTACGCGCTGAACAGCTGATAGGCGCGACTTTTGAATTTCAACCAGAGACCAGCTTTCACATCAATGTCGAGACCACCATGACTATATGCGAGTAAGCATGTTATGAGCATGCCATATGTACATTCCATACTTTGACCATTATAACTGTTATATAAGTGTATGTACAGGCTCCCTTATTATTCAGCCCTTGCTCTGATGATGTCAACAGCTAGTTGACAAAACCTTAGCAATAAAGAAGGCTTTTTTCTTATATCCCAGAGTTCATCATTTTATTTTTTACTGATTTTAAATACAGTGTGCTCACATAGCTTCTATCCTTAAAGCAGCTGAATCTTTTTCCAGCACTGTCTGGCTGCCCCTCTGCAGCTTTTGTATCAGGCACATACTAAGGCATCTTTGTGCCTTTCCATCCCAAAAGCTGTACAGCCAAACTATAAAGCACAGGACATTTGAAGGGAGAATCCATTTTAAAAAGTAACAAATAATATACAATGGTTAAATTAGAAAAAATAGTTTTTTAAAAAAAATAATATTTTAAAATTAGAACATCTTATACAAAATGAAATTTTGGAAGAAGAATCTTAACTTATCTTTTTTCCTTTATGCCAATGTCTAGATTCTTTTGCCTCTTATTCAGATGCTTCAGAAGTTAGAAAGTGTTACTGTTCTTTGAAGGAGTGGACAGGGAAGGTGGCAAAGTGGGGCTTCCGAAGAAGTTTTTAATCTCTTTGTCTGCTATATGCAAAAGACCAGTTTATTCTGCCTCCTAGGGTTAGGGTTTCTTTGATATCTTTAACGCTGTTGGGACCAATCTGACAGAAAGAATGGTTGGTAAAAATACAGATGGGGTTTCTTTGCTGGGAAAGTGTCAAAATGTGAGTTTTAAAAAAAATGTTTTCTCTCCCTTGTGCAAATAGACATTTGCTTTTCTTTCTCTTGCGCAGATTCCTGGGAGAATCAGGATCACTACAGTCCGAAAGAACAGCTGAGAAATTGTCAAGACTGGGTCTAAGGAGAACAGCATAAATTTTTCCCTCATCTATATGCAGGTGAGCAGCTTATTCTGTCTCCTGCGGAGGAAGTTTGGAAGACAGTGTCTAGATTGCAGGAATGGAATGTAGGAGAAGACTGGGAACGCCACTGCTTCCAGAGAAATGGCTTAGAGAAGCTGAGACGAATGCTGTGAAAGCCTTGAAGGGAAGCTTTGATTGGATAATCCCAACTAAAGCTTATTTGGAAACTGAAACAGGGACCTGCTTTGAAACAGCAAATTCATTCAGATGGCTTTCCCACTGTTTTGGCTGGAATTATTACAGACAACATATCGTGCTGCACCTTCACTTCCACATAAGGGGCTCTGACATAAGTAGCTAGCCAAAGGCCAACTTTTTTGACTTGGGCAGCCACAAGCTTTCACTTTGCCTGTCCTACAGTAATTGAGAGCTATATTTCTAGGTTAGCCTATCAATGCCACTGGGAACTCTGCTCCCAGTTGATCAGTTCTTTCTGTAAGAGCTGAAGGCCTTAATGTTTAAGAGGTGTAATGGCATAGCTACAAATTTTGTTTATTCTTTCCTATTCAAACTTTTTTTACTGTACCTACCTGCTCTAGCTCTACAGCAGGGGTCCCCAAACCCCAGTCTGTGGACCAGTACCAGGCCGCGGCATGCCAGCAACCAGTCCGCACAAACAAGCAAGGCCCCATCCATGGGATGCAGGCAGCACACAAAATCACACACTCTCTGGTCCATGAAAAAACCTTTCTCCACAGAACTGGTCCCTAGTGCCCAAAAGGTTGGGGATCTCTGCTCTACAGCATTGGTTCTCAATCTTTTCTTCACCATGGACCCTCTTTAAATACCTTTTGTGGCCATGGAAATGGCCATGGACTCCCAAAACCTGACTCAAGATTTAAATCGTAACAGTTCTTCAAACCTTTGTGGACTTCCTGTGATGACTTTGCTGCCTCCCAGAGGTCCACGGACCACAAGTTGAGAACCACTGCTCTATGGCATTGTAGTTCACTATACTAATCTGCTTCAGCTGCCTCTACTAATTAACTAAGAATATTGCTAATAAGCCTCAACTCCAGCCACAAGTCTTGCTGCCACTGATGAGTGAATGTTTTCTAGGAGCCGTCAAGTTTGTCAACTAATTGTATTAATTCTCCTGACATCCCCAAAGTCCTAGAAATCAGGGGCAACAATCTACAGATCCACATGGAAACAAATCAATTGTTTGTCTTCCAAATCTAGGCCAGAAAAGGCCAAGTTTTGTCAGTAAGCCAAACTGAGAGCTCCTACCTGCCACCTACAAATAGCTTTGCCAAGTAGCTATGCCAAGCCCCAGTATATAAGAAAAGTCAGAGATCAGTAATCAACAAAGTACAACATCTTACAAGGACAAGTCAATTAACATTCTTCAGAGTAATTCAGAAAAGCAAGTGGAAAACTAAAGAAAAGTTTTTGAAAGATTGTATTTTTAAACTGGAATCCGATATATTCATTGGTCCAGCCAACATCTGCATAGGCTATTTGCTAGACAATTTGGACACGGAATGATACAGTCATTTCTTCATCTTTGCTATCTCTGCCTTCAGAAAGCTACAGGGAGAACATCTTAAAATTATTGTGGGATGTAGTTGAAGCCTGACAGCATTAATTTATTCTAGACAATTTACAATCCTTGAGATTTTCATTGTACTCTAGTAAAATAAGGTGTACCTTTAGGGGCTTTGAATTTTCCTCATAACTTATGGACACATTTTTTAATTGAAGCTCAAAGCTCTAACAGCTGAAATGAATAAATTTACCCTCACATCTCAAATCAAAAACTCATATCAAATCATACCATCTTTAAATATTGAATCTCAATCAAATCTATCAGTTCTGATTTACACGGGTCAAAAATAAGATTGGCCGCTATCTCTGTAATGTGATCCCACTTCATCGGGGATAGTACTTGTATTTTCTACTCATGTATGTTGCTTTCTGTCCATCAATTTCTGCTGTGTTTTTAAGGAAAATGTTAATGTATTAACTTTAATGCTCACGACAGTGCCACTAGAATATATTTTAAGGGCTAAACTAGACATGACATCTCGAAACTGCAATAGAATATTGCAGTCACTTAGAATATCTTTTGTCACCTTCATAGAAGGGAGGGAAATGATTAAGAATCAACAACCTATGTTTTCCATTCCTGGACAGTGCTGCACTCTATAGCTGCAGTTGCTTCACTTTGCGAGAAGGTAACATCAATGAAAACTTTCTACCACTAAGATCACCTGGAATTTGGAAATTAGAGTTGAATTGTATAGACTTAACTATGTATCCAATAATCAATTTTCATTTTGAATAATGAGGAAAAATATGCCAGAGGGGGGGAAATACCAAATTTATGCTCCTTCAACACCCCATCTACTCAGAATTTCTTCTACAAACTTCATAAGCATTTTCAAATAGGCATTGGAAATAGATAGTAATCAGATAGACATACCTATTTCATTAAAACCACTGTAGCCCAGCTCCTGCCTGCTTAACCCCAATTCTTCAAGGTCCAAACACTCAAATCCTGGTGGACACTGGTAGCCTTCTTCTGATGCTTTTGAACAATGTGTGTCTGGGATTGCCAAATTGTTCCAGGTTATGTTTCTGTTGGGATGACAAGGAAATCAGTTAGTCAAATTGAATGCTATCTGGGTAAAATATGCAATCTTGTTCTTTCTGCAGTGTGCAAAGAAAGGGAAACACTATCTGGTTAGCTTTCACCTTTACTTCCTTGAATATCCAAATCATTGCCTGCATAGAAACAATAGTTTTGTATAAAAATTAGGTGCCAGGGTATAACTGCAGAATAATGGATAGTGACAGAGTTATCAACTGAAAGGCTTTATGATCTTCTGGGAACCGAGAACAATATTAACGCTCTTCATCAAATTCACACATCATCTTTAAATGGAATAATAGCGCAAGAGAATGGAAAAAAGATCTGAAATGATCAGAAGGATTTAGTCCTCAGCAAACTGAGATCTACTATAGGGCAATCCACTAAAGGGGGAAAAAACCCAAGTAATATAAGTTATGTATACATTCAAATGCCAAAAAGGGATAAGTAATTTACTTGAAAGATACCCTCTATCTGTAAATCATTATTTTGGGATAATCCTATTTATTTTTCTTCTCCATCTGAGGAACTAAGAGCAATTGGACTAGAGAATTAATCAGCCTTGAGAAAATATTAGATTTAGGTGGATTCACTTAAGACTATGACGGAAGACTACAGAATAAAATGAGATCTTACAGAACTGAAATGCCTTGGCCATCATTTATTGTAATCTCATTCTTTGTTTAATATGTGGGCTGTAGAAAATAATATAGGCCTGTTTTTAAATACTTAAGGGAAAGAACAGCAGGTAAAAAGAACAGTAGGAATTTGGGAAGTGCTTGTTCCATTCCTTTTGCAGGGCACCAAATTAGGGAAAGCTGGAATAGTGTTGGATTGAGACTTTAGTGACCCCAATTCAAATTCCTATTTGCAATGAAATTCATGGGCCATCTTGACACAGCCATTTGCTCCCAGTTTATTGTGAAAATAAAACAAAGGAAAAGAGCCTAATATGTTCCCTTTAGCAAAATGCGTATCATGTTATAATGGGGGGGAAGCTATTTTACCCCAAGTGAATATCACAGTTATGGCTACGATCCAGTAAGCATATGGGAATTACGTTCCTTATTAATGCTGGAGCTGAAATCCCATCAATATGGATCTGATAAAGGAACCAATATCGAAAACCAGAAGTCCAGCTCGCTCTGGCAATAGTCACTGAATACATTAACATGCTACTTTTAAAAGTCTTTCTTCCTTGATGTGCATTGCTCTTTCACAAATAAACAAATATGAACAAGCAAGCAGCAAATAAAAATAAATCATGGTGAAGCCCTCAAAACAGCAAGAAAATGTTGTGTATTAGAAAGTGAGAAGGGGAGCCAGAGAGACAACAGTGTGATGCAGACAGACAGACAAATGCCTCAGAAGAAATGTAGTGAGCCTAGTGATAAAGCAAGAGGATGAGTATGAATATTGGCTGGCAAGACTTAGAATTCTCTTGAGGGAAAGGAAGCAGCCTAAAAACAAAAATGAGGTAAAATTAAGAGAAGCATCACAGAAAATGTAGCACTTAGTTCTATGTTTGCTTTTGAAAACCTTGTTATAAAACAAGGGGTTCAATTGTGCTGAACTTAGGAAAACGTACACTTAAATGTATGTAAATAAGGTAACCTATTTATCTGTCTATCGGATAAATAGGTTACCTTAATACAGATAGGGAAATTTGGAGAGAGGAATTGCTCGGACATTACCCCTGAATTGTATCTGAAGAGGGATGAGAGGGAAGAAAGGAGAGGAAGAGTAAAGGAGGGGGGAAGGAAGTAGGAAGGTTGGAGGAGAAGAGGAGAAGTGGGGAGAAAGGGGAGGAGAGTGGTGAAGGAAAGAGGAGAGGAGAGGAAGAAGAGGGAAGTAGGGAAGAAAGAGAAGAAAGGGAGAAAGAAGGTAGAGAAGAAGGAGTGTGGATACAGTGAAAGGGGAAATGGGCAAGCAACACCAAAAGTCATGTGTATGTATTTATTTCATTTTATTAAAAATATCTTATATATAAGAATGTAAAAAGAATGTATGTTAAATTCTGATAAATATCACGGTATATGTATGGGGGAGAGTTTGGAAAAATAAAAAAAAATTAAATAGTAAAGGTAACCTATTTATGTTTGTTTTAACACTGAACATTTCACCACTGCAAGCATCTTGCTACACTTGGGAAATCCAAGGGAAAGAATTGCTGACTTGGAGTCAAAACTATAGAAGCGGAACCAAACAGTGTGAACTTTCATACAGATAGCCCTCAACTTACAGCCACAACTGAAACCAGAATTTCTGTTGCTAAGCAAGTGACTCATGCCAGATTTTGCCACAGTTTTTAAGTGAATCACTGTAGTTCTTAACTGAATCACATGGTCATTAAGCAAATCTGGCTTCTCCCATTGATTTTGCTTGTCAGAAGCCAGCTGGGAAGATTGGTAATGGTGATCACATGATCCTGGAATGCTGCAACCATTGTAAATACACATCATTGCCAACTGCACAAATTTTGAGCACGTGACTGTGGGGATGCTGTGATGATTGTAAGCATGAGGACTGGTTGTAAGTCATTATTCCCCAGTGCCATTATAGCTTTGAATGGTCAATAAAGGAATGGTTGTAAGTCAAGGACTATTTGTATGTATCACCCATTTATTCATTTCAGATAATGTATACACTATTTTCTTAACAGAATATTTCATAAGAGATATTTCAGACTGTTTTCAAGTTTCAAACAGTAAAGTACAATAAAATGCTAAAGAAATACAAATATCAAAAAGAAGAATAACATCTTCTATTAGCAGTACTTAAAAACATTATTAAAAACAGCTGCATTTAATATGTAAGGTGTAGTTCACTAAAATTAAGAATATTGTTAATGTTTTTGTTTCTGTGCTAATCCTTCCTAATTTAATTGACCCCTTTCTCATTTTATACAAATTTTCTAGGAATTGCACCACAACTGCCTTCTATCTGACTACAACATTGTCTTTGATAAAATTATTCACGCAGAATACATTTCCTAAGAGCCCTAGAAACCTAACAACAACACTGTCAGACACTGTTGTACATGCTTACAGCAATCTGACAACTATGTTTCATGGGAAATTAGAACTTGTTGGTCCCAAGTTCCCCATTAGAGGATCATATAGCTGCAAAAGTTCTTTAAAACTGTGAGTTGCTAAAGTACCAAATTTCACTAAAATACTTTCACATTTCAAGGTCTCATCATCAAGACCAATATCAAATGCAAAATAAGGCAGGGAACAATCCTTTAGAAAGAAAGATTAAGGGAGACACACAGAAAAATCCTGATTGAGACTTACCCTGGTTTTGTATCATTTGTTACACAATGATATGTGAAAGGTCCAAACATCTGGACCCCCAAAATTCCATACAGAAGCAGAAAGAACAGAAGGAAAATGGAAACACTCCAAATTTGTTCACCTGAACGCCTAGTTTAAAAAAAAGGAAAGGAAATGAGAATGAATGTGATATGCATTAAATGTATATACAATTAAAAAAAAGTAGGACAAAGTTTCCAAGATTTCAAATCCATCAGAAAAGGCTTTGCAGCTGTAGATTAATCACCCATTTTATCAAGTGAGAATGAGATAAAAATGGTATTTTTTCGCTCTAAATACTGCACTGAATTCAGGTGTTGAACTACACTGGACTCTAATTTAGAACAATTTGTATACTCTCAAATGTGTACCTCCCTACATTATTTTTAAAATCTTAAGTATGTAAATAAAAAAATGTGTCCAAGGAATTAGTAGCTATGACTATTGTAAACTAGGATATTTATTGAAACCCCACAGAACTGATGATATACACTATGCTGCGAAACCAATCGGGCCTTTGGCAATTTTTTAAAATGCTTGGTTTTCCTTCTCAAAGGGCAGGGGGTTTGCATAAGTCTGGAAGCTCCCCAATTATTCATCCATATTGCAAAGATAAATAAAGTAAGGAAAGAGATATGGGAGAATAGGAAATTGAATGCAAGTCTCTCACTCACAATATACTTTTATACAGCTGTGGCTAAAAAGCTACCAAAGCTACACTATAAAATCAAAGGCAAAGAACAGACTTACTTTAAAATGTTGGTTATCCTGGTTCTTGGTAATTCAAAGCGGAAATAAATTCGGAATGCTCGAATCATAATAAGTGGTCGTGGGATCCTCAGCATGCCCCAAGGAGACATTTGATCAACTATCTCAGCAATTTCAAAAACCTAGGAAGAAAAGGAATGTTTTTTTCTCTTTGATATTTCCTAATCATGCCAGTCTTCTTCTACTAGTTTTAAATGGTTATTTCTGCAAAACACTATAATTTCCAGGAACAACATACTTCCACTGTTATCTTTCAGTGGTTGGTTTTGCTAAATTTAGGATTTCCATGCTTTTTAACAGTTGCCTTTGCAACTGATTATCCTGCAGGCTCAAACATCATTGATCTCATTCGACAATATGAAGGAATCTTGAATATATTGATCTAAAACAATTTCACACTGGTGCACTGGAGTAGTCAAATAGAAAGTACAGGATGTCATTGCTGATATACGATGCTCACATGATAGAATTGCTCCAGGCTAAACTGAAGAGGAAGAGCTCCACGTGGAAAGCAAGCTATGTTAGGCTGCCAGATCAAATAATGGTAACAAGCTCTAGTGCAATACCTAAAATTCAATTTCTTTTAAAACACTAACAAGAGAATGAGTCATTTAAATTTGGAATGCAAAGTGTACTGCATAACATATTGTTATGTTATCAATTATTCTGATAGGAGCATTTTGTTAGTTGTATACACTTATATACAGATAAATCTTTTTTTTTTTGAACCATGTAAGGTTTTGTCTGATAAGAATTTTTTATTTGAAAGTCTTATGCGGACTAATAGTAGAACTTTTCTCTTTTAGTTTTGTTTAGTTAAGATAGTGTCCAAGCAAGAGTACTCAAAAGTACACAATTTATATACGGTAATTGGTACATATCTCAAAATGTTAGGTAATTAACACGGATCTAAGTTGTTTTAAAAACAGCATTACATTTTAGTTTAGCAGTAGCTTGATTGCCCAACTGATTTCACTCTAATAGGCTGCAGTACTGTAGTGAAAGGAGATGGGGAATGAAAAGCAGTATTTTGTTCTAGAAAGACCAGGTGCCAAAGTTGGCTTTGCACCTCTTCATATGCTGTACCAGTTATGCTTCTCCTAGATCAAATGGCTCTTCAGATAGTCACTCACAGCGTGGGCACCTCGCAGCTTAATTACTGTAAGACGCTCTACATGGGGTTGTCCTTAAAAGCCATCCAGAAGCTTCAACTGTTCCAGAATGCAGTAGTGTGAACAGTGATGAACATGTCCATGTAGCACTTCTGCTTTTTGAGCTACATTACCAATAGCAATAGCACTTAGACTTATATACCACTCCACAGTGCTTTACAGCTTTGTCTAAGTAGTTCACAGAGTCAGCATATTGCCCCCAACATTCTAGGTCCTCATTTTATTATCCTCGGAAGGATGGACAGCTGAGTCAACCTTGAGCCTGTGAGATTCGAACTGCCAAACTGCTGACAGCAGCAGTCAGCAGAATTAGTCTGCAGTACTGCATTCTAACCACTGTGCCACCATGGTTCTTAAGTGGCCAATTTGGTTCCGAATATGTTCAAAGTGATGATCATGACCGGGTGAGGATTTCTATGACATGTCATTGTTTTCTGGGACCTTTATTTGAATTTATAAGTAAGTTAAAACATGTTTTAGAGTAATCTGGTGAGAATTAGATGCTTTTTATTTTGCTTGAAAAGTCTTACTTTGACTTTTTAAAGGTATCTAATATTTCTGCTTAATTTTGTAACAAATGCTGCATTTTGGTTATATTTTGGTCATTGGCAATCCTCCTGATAAGTAGGCAAGTTTAAGTCAGCAAAGAAAGTGAGAATTTGCCTGTTTTTTTCTTATTCACTCCCCAATTCAGGGAGATCTCTCTCTCTCTCTCTCTCTCTCTCTCACACACACACACACACAGACACACACACAGACACACACACAGACACACACACACACACACACACACACACACACACAGAGAGAGAGAGAGAGAGAGAGAGAGAGAGAGGAGATGCTGATGTACAGTATCAAGAAGATGTTTATTTCAAAGGTTGATCATCAGGGAAACCTCCAGAAATAGGTTCCCCCTGAGCTCTGAACATCCTCCACTCTTTTCTTGTCCAGAAGAGTGGCTGAAGACCTAGTGTGGGAGATTAGGACTCCTAACTTCATTCCATTCAGTCTGTAATTTTTGTCATTTTTATCATCTTTTCTTCTTTTTAATTGGATTTAATGTAATTTCTTTGTTTGGATTGTTGTGAACCTCTCAGAGACATTGGGAGTCAGGCAACATACAAGTTTAATAATAAAAGGAACAATAAAATAGATCCTGTTAGGTACACTCTGTGGCATTCAATTACAAGTTTCAGACACTTCTTGAGTCTGCTTAAAGAGGAGAGCCAATCAGAGGATTTTTAAATTAAACTCAATACTCAGTACTTGGGCAGAGATGACCTTATTATAATGAAATAGAATTACCTGTAAAACTAAGGACACCCACAGACAAAATACCATGAATCCATCAAATACACACCAGCGGTCCTTCACATAGGAGCTATCCCCCTACGGAAAAAAATTAAATTGGATCATATTGTGTTTTCATTGTTATTTTATAATCATAATTAAACAGAAGTGATCGGACAGCATTAAAAAACAATGTTTTTTTGAGATTTGTGGCAATAGGTACTGATTCAAAACAATAACTTTCTCCAAAATGATATCTTTAGCTGTGCAGCAATTATTAACTCAATGGCTCAAGAGGGCAACGCTAAATTAGAGAATGCTGCAATAAATAAATATTTATATTTACATACAAATAAATATCCTGAAAAGAGTGAAATAGGTTTAGTGTCTTAGAAGAATCCTTTGCTTATAATGTGCAACTTAGAAAACATCCTCCATTGACCTCATAGGTGCTTTAGTCTGACAGCTGCTGAAAATACCATGCAACTATTTGGCACAAATGTCAGTGCCAAGTATTTAAAAGCACCTCTTTTATTTCTGTACTAAGTTTGTAAGCAATGCATCTGGAATAGGAGAAGTGAATTAGATAAATTAAACACAGGAAGACTGTTTTTCCCAAATGTAACCCAACATACAAATTGTTTTTATATAGTAACTGATTTTGCTATTTGTGGATATTTTAAAACTTTTTTTTCCTTGACTTGTTAACTTTTAGGTTGAACCTGGGATATCAGTGATGTATTAGTTACATGCACTGTTTGCAGATGCATCTTGATCCTTTCATATTTTTTTTTGCTGACCAAGAAAAGGCTCTAATGATTTGCAGCTGTAGCAAACTGAAAAATGATATGCTATGGAATTCTCTTTCTTAGGCAGGTCTTTGAATGTACCTTTAAGCTCAGAATTTAAACTCATTCATACATTGCTCCACATATCATTAAAATGAGTAAAGTTATAACATGCATAATTATTATATTAATGTCTATATTTGCTTTAAATAAGGATATATAAATTCAGCCCAAGCTTTTTAGCATGTAACTGTATTTAATTCAAAAGTAGACGCAGTCAATAATTATTTCTGTACAGTATTATGTTTTGCAGACTTATATCCAAGAGGACGCTAGAGACAGGTAAAGAGTAATCCCCCAGCAGCATTATTATCCTAATATCTAATTACTGCTACCTGTATTGGAGATAGAAACCTAAGATGGCTTGTTGACAAAACAAAAAACAAAAAAAAACCCCTCAATTGCTTTCTTCTCCCCAAAGTGACAACTGCTGTGAAATTACTGAGAAAGACATTATAATCATACTCACAGAGATGTATATGGACATAAAAATTATTCATCATTCTGTTAGCATGGGAGCATGAGTTTAGGTATTACTGATGTCATTTGAGAGATCACAAGAAGTACACAAATGTGGCCACAACAGAATTATTGAAGGCTACACAGGCCTAAGTAATATTCTTTAACTCAGAGTCTTAATGCTCCAATTTCTAGAATTTCAAGACAAGAATATCAGTCTGCTTTCTTATGGAAGCCTTAATACATGAATGAGTTCTGCCAGGTTTTTTTAAAAAAAATCTGTTCGATACTAAGGCCCATCCTATTACAGCCTTTCCTTTTTGTATAGATCAGGGGTGTCAAGCTCGCAACATCACTTGACCTGTTGTGGTATCTGCTGAGGAAAATGAGTTGGAACTGGAGCTGATGGAGGTCGAGGGAGGGGTGTCTGTGGCTTCAGAGGAATCTGGGGAAGAGCAGGCTGAGGCAGGCCAGGACCTTTCAGGATTGGGACAGGATGAAGGGCAAGGGCCACCTCCTCCTGATTCTAGAGCACAGAGAGTGGGGAAAAGGAGGGAACAATGCAGGCAGGCCTAGCTACTCGGGAGGAGAGTGCCCCACCCCTCTCCACAAGGCACACTTGGAGACTGAGACTTAAGGAGCCGCTATGGGGAGGGGCATTTGTCAGGAACAAATGCTGAATGCTTGGAGTTTTGCTGATCTTGGAAACAATTCTCTGATCTCCTGTGTTGTGATTTCTGTTTGGAAACCCTGGAACTCTGACCATTGGACTGGCTGACAAACTTGATTTAGTGTTCAAAGACCTCAAGTTGAATTTTGACTTCTCTTCTGAAACTGCTCAGGCAAGCTTGTATTTCCACAGACTCCTTAGATTTTGGATGTATCTTTCTTTCCTTGTTATCAACGTGGCCTTGAGTAAATTACTCTTCTAATCTAACTGTGTGTGAGTCAAAGGAGGATGGCTCGTTCCACACACACACTTTCCCTGCCTGGAGAGTTAAAAACTTGTGAAACTACTTGCAGCCAGAGGCTGCTGAAGGTGTGTGTGTCTTACTTTGTTCTGCGGCTTGCCAGAAACGTGGGAAAATTGGAGCAAATAAAAAGCGGTTTGAACTGCCAGTTGACTGTTTTGTCTCTGTGCCGTGCCCTGGGTCATCACATATCGTGACTTTTTTGCCACTGCCAGCAATTTGGTGGGCCCGGTTTTGCTATGATGCATCCGGCCCATGGGCCGGCAGTTTGATACCCCTGATATAGATGATAAATTTCAGCCACTGATCAAATCAGCTGAGAAAATACAGTGCTTAAGTGGAAAGAAAATTAAGAGCCATATTGTTCTTTCCAAGTGAAGATGCTAGAGAAGTGCAAGACATAGGGTTTTGTGTACTGAAAATTATGATTCACCAGAGGGATCTTTAGTATTTCTTCAGATTTCTTGCCATACTTGTTATAACAACATCCGACACATCTTAAGATGATCTGGCCACAGCAGAAAAATCTCTCACTTCTCTAGGGTTTTAGGACTGAAATTTCTTCACAAGGCTGAAAATATTCTATGTTCTGCCTTCCAATCCTATCATGCAGTTTGTTCTATATATTGATCTCAAATGCTATAAGGAAAAGAAATAGTGTTCTCTTTTGTAGCTGTGATTTATTCTTCAACCTCCTCACACTTAGCTTTGCATAATAACAATGATGACAGCACCTTATTAATGTGTGCAGGGATGTTTGCAATATGCTTTGACTATTGTTGAGAATACAATTTTATCACTTTTTTATTTTGATGTGTGTCTGTGCCTGATATAGCATATCCCTTTTTTCTGGCCATCTGTTTCTAATGTTATTACTTATGGCAATTCCCTTATAACTTATGAAATACTAAGGAGTTTGGCATCTGCTAAGGACCAATTGATTGACAAAATAAATACTGGGCTCTTACCGTCTGTTTTCCTGGAATTTATGCTGAAGTTCTAATAGATCTATAGATCACATCCTGTTGTATGAATGTGACTTAATGCTTCCCAAGGAAGACACAGATCCTATTACAAATCCTAATTATAGTTCTATCTCACACATCTATAGGGATGCTAACCCTGCCAATAAATTATTTTTTCTTTCAGTTATTGTATATTCAACTCAGGCTGGATTTATATAAGACTATTCAGAGGTAGATGACATTAGATTTGTCGTAGTTGTTTAATAAAAACCAGCAGCCATAATATATTTGGATGCAGGAAAGGCTTTTGATAAGGTTTTTTGGATGTTTCTGAAATGAATATGAAGAGAGTCAATATGGTCCAGTGGTTAAGGCTCCAGGTTAGAAAGTGGATGACCACGTTCAAGTCCCGCTTTGCCATGAAAGCCAGCTGGTGGGTGACCTTGGGCCAGTCACTCTCTTTCAGCCCAACTAACCTCACAGGGTTGCTGCTATAAGGAAAATAGAAGGCTGAAGGTATGTTGGATTTGTTTGCAACCTTGAATTATTTGTAAAAATAATAAAGGTAGGACACAGATAAATAAATTTTGACTCCCTCCAACTTTCATATTCTGGATAGACCATATTTCATTCTATTCCTACTTCATAAGTGATTAACAATAGCATGTTTTCTTCTTAAAATATGTGTCATAATAAACATCAGGAAAGCCCAGTTTCTGTATTTAATTTATTTCTATAAATATAAGGTTATGAAATTATATTTTTTAGAAAACATTAAGGAAATTGGCATAGGTAGAACAAAGTATAGGATTATGTGGATGATATGCTACAATTTAACATTGTTAATCTATGTTATTATTTTGCCATTGTCCCAATGATACAATTATAAATTGTCATCACTATGCTGGACACATGCATATAACTTGCATGATTTATATGATGCAATAATAAAAGCATCATCATTTGCCCCCATTAATCTCCTACCATTTTTCTATTATCCATTGATAGGATGATTTATTGCTTAACAACTCTTATCAACAGGAAATGTTTCCTAACATTTATTCTAAAACTCGTTTAACTTCATTCTCTTGTTTCTTACTCTACTCTTTGTTTCAACTAAGAACAAACCTACCCCTTTTTTTCTTTCTTTCTAGCATCTTCCTGCAAGTGCAGGATCGGCTTTTCCCCCTTCTATGGGTTGTGACAGGAATTGACCCACTGGCTTGTCACCTGAGCCAGACAATGTGGGCTGTGAGAGAATGATTATCCCAAAGGCACCCAACTGGCTTTCATGGCTAAGACGGAACTTGAACTCATAACCTCCAGGTTTCTAGCCTGGTGCCTTAACCACTAAGCCAAACTGGTTCTCTAAAGTGAAAAGTCTCTAAACCAGCTCTCGTTAAAGGGGCTGGCTGCCCCTTCTTAAATAACAAATTAACCACTACAATGTCGCTCGTTAGTTTCTCCTATGCAAACATAATGAACCTAACACTTTTAACTTTTTCTTGTATGTTTTCTTTCCAGAGCCCCACCCTCTGGTTAACTCTTCCTCTAACATTGCTCCAGCTTTTCCTTGATCTTTTAAAATTCGTAAATGCGCCAATCTGGGTACAAAACACAAAGCATGGTCTATCCAGAGTAGAATATAATAGAATAATTACTTGCTATATTGCAGATGCAGTGCTTCAGTTAATGTATATCAAAATTGCACTGGTATTTTTAGTTTGATGTTCATGTTCAATAGGCAGTTAGATCCTTCATATGCATTGCCATCAAATCAAACCCTGCAGCAATATATTTATAGATACAGGACTTTATACTAAGAACCATTGAACATCATTTTCTGGGATCTCTCA